GATCACTGCATTAAGCAGTGCAGTTCCGCATCTTCTTTTGTGCTTTGCATCCCTGTGCTGCTGAATTTAGTGCGCGAAAGTTAGCGTGAATGCCTGTTAGTGACAGTTGCTGCATCACTCAAACAAATGCTTTGCTTCAGTGGAACAAAGGGCTCAGGGCATCAGTTGTTGCTGTTTTGGAGCTTTTGTATGATGGTGTGAGATCTACCCGAGTATCGTTCCCTTGGCCAAGCGCTCTACTCATTCCTTTCATAAAATACGGAGAGGGAGGGAGGAAATACTGGCGCATCAACAGAAGACAGCAGCAGTTAAATGGTACTGAAGTCACCAATTTGTCTAAATTATCACCTTCCTTTAATGGTATTTCAGTGGACATGAAAAAAGTGATACAGTTAGATGGGGCGGATCGTATCAGTGAATCATCAACGGAAGAAGAAGATTTGGACGAGGAGGAGGAGTACGATCCGTTGAGAAGAATTGCGAATCGTATTGATGAGGAACAGGCAAATGCACCTGAGGACGAGGAACAGGTTTCACCTGCCACTTTATTTAGCAGCGTTGTGCCTCGTTATCAAAGTGCGCCATAACTACTACTGATTGACTGGTTGGCGCTAGCATCGTACTTACTGAGATTCAAGTGTTCGTCTTATTTTCTCTAACTACTGCTGTTTAAAAATCCTGAGACATTCGGGAAAGGGAGAGTAGGAGTACCGAGAATTTGGGAGTCGCTTTTGAGGATCAGATGGTGAGCGAAAGCAAATGGGAAAAATGTTGCTGTTTACAGTTAATTTATAATGCCGTTTTCGAAATCTCAAGGGTCCGCGCTATGTCACGCTTGAAATCGTCTGCGTGCTAGCATTTTCATGGGGAGCAACTACCCATTGGTGAAGTCTTTGTTTGCTGCATCTTCCTCGTTGATCGTCTGGAAATCGAATCGTCGGAAGATTAGTTTTAGTGAATCCGGCGCATTGCTATTTTGACCCATCTGCACAAGATGTTACTCACTAGTTCAGGTAGCTAACGAAGAGGATCCACTGAATTCGGG